GTGAACGTTTAGTGCGATGGTACCTTGGTTCACGAACTTCATGTGTCCCATGGTCCTGGGGAAGATGGCCGCCTTCCTGTTTGTGTGGGGAAGATGGCCACGGCTGTGTTTGTCACCTGATGCAGAGTATGGGAAGGGAGGCAAAATTTTGTTGAATGCTTCTATTTGTGAACCAAATTGTTCTTGAACAGGAGCGTTCGTGAATCGAGGTTTTACTGTATCTGTTTCTGCTATGTGCAAGAGAAGAACAATAGAAGTGAAGGAAGTGAGGTCTTGGAGTTGCTCCAACTTGGAAAAGCGCTTTGCAAAGTAGATTCCCATGAGGCCCGAGAGCCCACATTGTCTCTGTGGACGGTGAAGGGGGAGGCGGGGTGGTGGCAATGTCTTCCCCTGACCACTGCATCCTGCAGTGGCAGGTGGAGTGTGAGGAACAGGAGAGGGACACATGCGTGTCAGCCTTGGGTCAGCCTGGTTCCGTGACTGAGCAGCCTCACAAGAAGTTCGGGTTTCCCAGGGGGAGAGCCAGTGTGCTGCCAGCAAGCTGACGTGGCTGCTTGTTCATGATGAACCTAGGACCCAGCTGTTGTGGTGATTAACTGTGGTCCAGATGTGCTGTTGAGACTCCGTGGTACACAACAGGTCTTGATTATAACCCAAACAACAGCAGCTGCTCTACTCTTAGCTGGCCGAGGTTGAGAAGTGGCCTGTGGGAGGAGAGAGGCAGAAGAATCCACTGTCCCACAAGCTCGGGATGGCGGTGCTCGTAGATGGGTGGAGAAGGGGCCACAGGGGCCACCCAGCCCTGCTGCTGTGTGTCAGGATGAGCAGCTCATGGAATCAGGGTGGATACCCTCTGAGCCGGAAAGCTGCTTAGAAGTTATTATTCTAGCCCGCTTGCTATATGGCTGGAAGCCCAGGGTCTGGAGGAACAGTTTTATATGGTTGCCACATGTTCAAGAGAGCTGTAGAGAGTTGGACTCAGAACTGGACCAAAGCCAGGGTCCAGAGGATTGAGTTCTACGCCTGGGCCTGGGGTGAATGTGTGCTTGGGGTCTTTTCATTTGTGGCCCCAGTTGGGTGTCAGTCCTTGACTGCTCTCCAGGGTCCTGTTGGGACTGAGGTTTACCTGTCTTTGCAACTAGCTGTAACCCTAACTCCCCACAAGAATGTCACCTGTGACTGAAGTCTCAACTGTACCAACACCACTCTATTCCCAAGAGCAGAAGCCCAGGTGGATGTTCCGTCTTCCCCTGACCTCAGGAGTGCAGTAGCCAGCTGGGCTGGGGAAGTCATGGCTGGAAAGGACCTCACTGGGGAGGGGAGGGATCCTGTGGTGGGCCTCACCACTCGGGGGTCAGAACCTACCTAGGCCAAGTTGCCACTGGCTCTACCCCAGAGAAAGAGCTGCCCAAGCTAGGACTGACTCAGGAGTCACAAGAGGAAGCCAGCACCTTTCACAATAGGCTCTGGGGTGGCCAGCACCTCCACCTGGGTAGCACGTGACTTCTTCACAGGAAGAGAGTGAGGGAAACCTGTCACATAGACGAAACTCAGTCCAAGGAATTTAATTGAAACAAACACAAGAGATTCAGTGGTCCTTCCACCTTACCTCACAGGAGACTGAAATAAATGTAGATGTGTAGAATCCTTGAGCCACCACCAGGGCTGGGCATTATAAGGTTCTGAACTAAGGGCTTCATCCAAACCCAAGACAGCTCCCTTGGAGGCAGCGATAGAGAGCAATACCTAGACCTGGCAGTAACGGAAGGCTTCCTGGAGAAAGTTACCGCTCAAGCTGAGGCCTGAAGGTTGAGGGGAACTTAGGGCAGGGGAGAAAAATTCCAGGCTATATGGAAAGCCAGAAAGACTGTGGCCAGCAGAAGAGTTCATAATGATGTCAGTGAGGCAGGGCTTGGTGAGGGAGGCGGAGTTGAAGGAAAGTTAGCATGTGGCTCATATTAGGGAGTTCCTGCCTTACCCAGGAGCCACTGGGAACCGTGAAGCACTTCAGCCAGGCAATGACATGGCTAGTGTGTGTCCGAGCTGGCTTCCCCAGAGATGGGCCCTGGGACAGGGCTCCAGGGCAGGTGGTTTCTGTGGGAGGTGATCCCAGAAAGCCCCAGTGGAGGAATGGGGTGGTTAGACTAGGAAGGGCTGCCAGGAAAGCATGTGTGATCATGCGGGTCACCTCGGGACTGCTGGGGGACTCTGGGAGCCGGCATGGAGTGTGCCCCGCAGTAGGCCCCCAGCAGGAGGGAGCTGGGAGTTTGTCCACCAACTCTCACCACTCATTGGCTAAAGGTTTTTGGGCCTTGACACTGTGCCCCAGCACTTCCGGCTTTCCCTTGAGGTGGGCAGTGGGGCCCAGGGGGACCTGCGAGCAGGGGTGCAACTAGAGTGGGGTGTGAAGGGCTGTGGAGAGGGAGCCAGCATCCCCGGGGCCACCAGGATTCTGGAGGTGGAAGGCCACGCAGGGTCACAGCAGGAAGCCAGTGGCAAATTCCAATTATAATGATGTGAGGATGGTTTATTTATAACAAAGACAGGGGCCATGGGGGCAGGAGGGGCCCTCAGGATTGGCAGCCACAGAGCTGTGACCACCGTAGGTCTAAAGGGGTGAACGGAGAGGTTGTTCCCAGAACTGGGAAGGAGATGTGCAGAAGCCTCACAGAGCCTGCCCACAGCCACCTCAACAGGACACTGAGGGGAGCAGGGACCCAGCCTCTGCACTCTACCCCAATCTCCTGCCCAATGATGGGTCGTCCTGCCCCCGGGCCAGGGCAGGATGGGATAGCACAAGGGCAGTGGACGGTACCTGGCAGAGGAGGTAGTTTTCAAGCAGATGGGGCTCAGGTCTCTGTGTCCACATGGGGCAGAGATGAAGATGTCATGTTGGGTCTTGAGTAGGGGCTGGGGGCTTCACTGTAGCTGCCCTTCAACAACAGTGGTCACTGTTTCTCCTTGGTCACCCCAGCTCTTCTCCCCTAAGACACACCTCTCCTGATCCCTGCAGCTCTCCCCAAAGCTGTGCTAAAAGTGGGGTGCCCAGGACTCAGACATCTGGCTCTTTGTGCCTCTAACTTTGACCACAGCAAATCCCTTCTTCCTCTGCACCTCAGTTTCCCTGTATGTGAAACCAGGAGGGCTACTCAGATGACCATTCAGGCTGCTCAGATGACCTCCCAGGCCCTCTTCCACAGCAGCAGGAGGCATTGTGTTCCCTTTTTAAACAGTCACTGGAAGGGAGTAAAAGAAACATTGTCCTCTTGGAGGAACTGAGGCCCAGGCAAAGGAGGGACTTGATGAGTAATCCCCACCCACTCCTGCTTGCACTTTCCAGAGAGGTGTGGCCCACACGCATGTTTGTTTTAAGAAGCCCAACAGCTGGCATGAAGTTCCAAGGCCTCTCTTGTGCCCTTGTCTGTGTGTGTAGCTGTGAACAGAATTGTGAGAGTGCATAAGAACGGTGGTTTCCACCAGGCTTCTAGACTGCTAATCCCTCCTGCCCTGCCTGGGGATTTAGCGTCAGTACAGTGTCACTGCTTGACTTTGAGCCAGTGGGTCCTGCAGCAACCTTAGATCTTAATTTGTAGGCAGCTTTGAAGAGCCCCTCTGAGAATGACCCTGCACAGCCAGGACCTGAGCAGCCCTGACGCTTGTCCCTGGCCCCACAGGCCTTGCCCTAGGCACATGAAGCAAAGCCTACTCCTTTTGATACCAAACCTGAAACTCTGGGGCTTGCTGTGTCCCGTGCTTGGGGGCCTCCAAGACCACCTTGTTGGAACCATGGTTTCCTCATGAACTGGGGTGAGAACAGAGCTTTCTGGCACGTGCACATGGGTTCTGTCTGGAGTCAGCTTTTCCAAGCTGACGGCCCTGGGTCAGTGGTGCCCTGCATGTACGTTCTCTTTGGCTTGTACTGTTTGCACCCTTGGGTTTATTTTCACAGTGAAATTAACTGCCACAGTTAGAAATCAAACTGAGCTTTCTGGTTACTTGAAGAAACCAGAAGACCTGGCAGCACTGGGCTCCTATTCGTGCCCCAGCGTGTTTAGACCACAGTGGAACTGCAGCTCTCCGGCCCCCAAAGAGATGAGACATGCACTGTCCTGTCCACCACAGCCCCCACCCTGCCTGTGGTCATCCAGCTGGAGCTGAAGACGGTTGCCATCTACCACCAAGCTTGTGCTGCTTTTTCTTAGGTCAGAGGGTGGTGAGCAAAGTAAAGTATTTTGGATTTTGCACATTTCCAACAAAAGTAGAAGAAATTTATGTTTATTACCTGCCTGGGTTGCTGATACAGAAGTTTGGTTGTTTGGTCCCTGTCCTTGCCTCTACTACACCACTACCATCGTTGTCACCCTTACACCATATTTACTGGCTTTCTCTCAAGCTGTGTCCACAGTGACGCGGGGCATGGCAGTCCCTGACTTGTCAGAGAGGCTACATGGCAGACAGAGAGAGAGCAAACAGAGAGACTGGGGCAGAAGGAGTCGGCTCTAATATGATGGGAAATTTACCAGGCCAGAGGGGGTTGGGACAGTAAATTTTTAAAAAATAAAAAAAGATAAGTTCGTGATACTGGTATACTGCTACTGTTCTATTTTTTGTTTGTTTGTTTCTCATTTACTACTCTCTTTAAAATAGAAAAAACCTTAACAGACAAAAAAAGAAAGGGCTGCAAGAGGGAAGGGTCTTAAATGATGAGCTGTAAGCAACTCCGTGTGGGAGCTCCTGCTTAGAGTTGTAGTCCTTGTAGCAGTGACTGTCAGGATGGAAAATGTAGGTGGGCTGAGGCAGTTTGGAAGGACAGACTTGGGTTTGGCCTGTAAACTCAGTCACTTCAGTGAAAAAAGTCTGAGTCTGTTGAGTATAGCGGTGACTCCTGTAATGCTAGCCACTCAGGAGGCTGAGGCAAGAGGATTACAAGCTCAAGGCCAGCTTTGTCAATTTAGCAAGGCCCTGTCTCAAAATAAAATAAGAGCTTGGGATGTATCTCAGTGGTAGAACGCTTGCTTTGCATGGATGAGGCCCTGCATTCAACCCTCAGTAACGTTTAAAAATAAAAAAGCCTGTTTGAAACCTGGGATGGGAACATGAAGACAGGCCCTGGCTCCCACAGTGAGATCTTGTGTCAGAGCACACTGGTCCTCTCAGAGTCCTCTGTAGTTACCACACAGCCCCACTCCGGTTCCCCGGAGGCTCCCCCAGAAGCCCTTGTGGGGCATATTCCATGCAGGTTGCCCCTGTCAGGTGGTGCAGACAACTGGCACTGTAGTGGAATGTCAGGTCCCCGTGGTTCATGTGGCACTTCTCTTCATGTGAGCCAGATATCGGAGACCGGTCACAAGAGCCGAGGAGGTCGTCATCCCAGCCATGGTCTGCATCCCAGACTTGCACCCTCAGAGGCCCCCCTGTGGCCAGGAGCACCTCTCCAAAGTCCAGCCGGGTGGCCCACTTGGGGTTGTTATTGTTCCACACTGTGCCGGTCCTCAACTCCTGCTTGCCAAAGAAGACCTTCACATAGGCGTCTGTAGCAGTGAACCAGTCCCCCCACAGATTCTTAGCTTGGACTATGGTCACCTGCAGCCGGGCCAGGCCCCTGTGTTTTGGACAGCAGTCCCTGGTGGTGACTGCTGAGCCCAGGCACACACACTGGCACGGGTTGTGGGGGCTTTTCTGCTGCCCCGGCGGACAGGGCCGGCTGCAGTCCCTCCAGCGTGCCCTGCCCATCAGGTACTTGCTCACTGCCTGCTTCAGTGCCTCCCTCCGTGGGTCCTGGTTCCCCACTAGCACATGCAAGGGCTCCAGGCTGTAGTCTACCAGGCTGGGATTCTTGGGCAGAGAGGTCACCCAGGCTGAGAACTGCTCGGGCCCAGCTTTGCTCCCGAACAACAGGTCATACATGGATTCCTGCTGCCCACCAACCACTTCACAGTGGCGCTCACGGTAGGCCTGGTGGAAGGAGGTCGTCATCTTGTGCTGCTTCTTCTTCTCCTCACAGGCCTTGTATTCAGATGAGGCACTGGCCTGGCTGCTGATGCTGACCTGGGCCTCGACAGTCAGGCAGTCCCCTACCTCGTCAGCCGTAAGCCCATTCAGGGCCAGCTCGCAGGTGTGCAAGGCGGTGAGGGCCAAGATGCGGCCACCCAGCTCCACACCCCGGATGAAGTGGGTGCCGTACTCAGAGATGAGCTTGTGGTAGTCAGGCTCGGTGGAGGCGTTCAAGTTGGGGGGCAGTTCCTGGAGAGCCTTCCTGAAATCAGGGTGGAGCGGGGGAGTGTGCACCAGGCGATAACTGTGAGGAGAGAGAAAGAGTAGGTTTGCTTACCAGTGGGTAGTATTTTGACTATTAAAGAACTCCTTCCAGATTGCCCAAGGTCACGTGTGAGGGCAGAATACGACTTAAACCAGGGGACCTGGCTCCAAAACCAAGCTCTGGGGTACTGAGCTGGCAGGAAGCCTACCGTGTTGCTCCTTGGGGACCTAGTTACTTTGTGCAGGTATTTCCTCTTTTTCTTTCTTTCTTTTTTTTTTTTTAATTTTAGAAATAAAAGGAGGAAAATACTAACAGATGGACAACGTTTTACAAAATAGCAAAGGATCAGTACAGACATTACAGAGTTACAAACAGAGTGGTAGGGAATTAACAATGCTTATTGTATTACATATTGATATCTTCAAT